TCTCAGCCCAGGCCACTCAGTGACTTAGCAAGTCTCTGTCCGAAAATAAAAGTAAAAAGGGCTAGAGACGCCCCTCAGGGTGAAAGGCCTGGGTTCAATCTCAAGTCCCACCATAAAAATGGGGGAGGGGGATAAAAGAGGGCACTTACGATAATGCAAGCCAGAGCAGATAAAGGCTTCTCCCAGGCACCAGCCAGGCACCAGCTGAGCGGGGTCACAGGCAGGGACTCGCGTTTACATAGCACCCTCATCTTGTCCCTGCCTCACCAGGAACAGCCAGCTCAGAGCTGCACTTGGCCGTGGAGATTGAGGCCTTTTCAGCCATGAGGAGTGAGGGCTGGCTGGTGACGGTTGGCCTGGTCCCCACAACCTGTAGCTCCTAAAGAAAAACAGCACAAGGGGAACATACTCCAGAGTAATCCATAAAGCTCTACCAACGAAAAGGAAAATCTACGCTGAGAGCTAGAAAGATCCCAGAACAGACTGTTGGTGGTGGTGGAGCACACCTGTGGTCCCCGCACTCAGGAGGCCGAGGAAGGAGGACGGCAAGTTTAAAGCCAGCCAGGCACTTCAGTGACTCAGGGAGGCCCTGTCTCAAGTATTTCTGTTCTTTTTTCTTTTGCCTTTTTTGAGACAGGGTTTTGCTGCATATCCCAGGCTGGCCTCGAAGTCCCCATCCTCCTGTGTCCACACCCACCCTGGGCTAGGATTACAGGCCTGCAACACCCTGTCCCACTTAATGAGACACTCTAGTAGGGACAGTAATAGAGTACCCTGGGTTCAAGCCCAGTGCCACAAAAAACAAAAACAAAAAAACAAGTTAATTCTCAGTTGACTTAAAAATGTAATGTGGGCCCCACCCAAAAGACAGAAAAGCTGGTTTCAAGAACTAAAACGAGAATCCCTTCTTAGCCTTTTAGCTAAGATCAAGTGAAGAACTAAAACAAGAGCCAGGAATGGTGGTGCATGCCTATAATCCCATCATTTAGGAGGATGAAGCAGGAGGATTGCCATGAATTCCAGGTGAGTTCAAAGCCAGCCTAAACTACAAATTGGAACCCTGTCTCAAAAACAAAACAAAAAAATAACCAATCAAACAACAAACAAAACAGAATTAAGACAAAATTTGGCTGGGCAGGAATTGCACATCTGTCACTCCAGCACTCAGGAGGCTGAGGCAGGAGGATCTCTGCAAGTTTGAGGCCAACATGGGCAATCCAGTGAGGCCCTGACTCAAAACCAAAAACACACAAAACAAAACAAACTGCTGAGTAGGTTGAAGAGGTGGTGCAAACACCAAAACATGAGCAAACCCAAGGATACAGTTCAGGGAGACAGATTGTAACAAAAGAAGCATTAAGAACTTTGTAGTAGGTTGTACTTAATTTAAGCATGACTCAAAACTGACCACAGGGTTGGGGGGGATTTAGCTCTGCAGTTCTGCCGCCTGCCTTGCAAGAATCCAAGTTTGATCCTTGGTACCCCCCCGAACAAAAACTGACCACAGGAAACACTTTGAAATTTTCCATGAAAAAAATAAAAATAAGCCAAAAGACAACAAACGGTAATATACGCAACATATATGACAGATGAATTTGCATAGCATAGAGAGAACTGTAGGCCACACTGGGGGGTGCACACCTGTAATCCCAGCACTCTGGGAAGCTGAGGCAGGAGGATCACAAGTTTGTAGTTAGTTTTGGCACTTGGCCACTTTGTGGCTTATTGAGACCATATTTCCAAGTAAAAAGAAAAGAGTGGTTTAGTTTTTTGAGACAAGGTCTCATTATGTAGCCCAGGCTGTGCCTGAACTCATGGTGACCCTCCTGCCTCAGCCTTCGGAGTGCTGGGATCACGTGTGTGCCACCATACTGAGTCATTTATCATTTTCAGATGTTATGAAATACTATATCCCCAACCCCCAACTTAAAGGCGTAGAAACCACTTAGATCCCAGGTGGGACCCACACTGGATCTGGCCATGGGCTATATCTGCCCCACAGTCTGAAGTTCACCAATCCTGACCTCAAACAAATGAGACCAAGAACCAGGCTTGGGGTGATAGATTGGTAAGGGTCAGACAGAGACTGGGGAGCAAGCGGCGGTGGCCAGTGGGGTAAACAACAAGGGGGTGCTGATCAAGGTCAGGGGACTTGGGGGGCACGTCCCTGTGATTCCCCTGGGGACTTGAGCTACTGCTCAGGTTCTGAGCCTGTTTCCTGCTCTGTACCGGGGCAGGAATGGTGCTCCCCTGCTGAGCTCTGTCCTCAACCAGAGCATTCTGGTCGTAGCCACTGTCCCGTGTGGTCACCTTTCTTTGGCATTCCGTGAATGGGAGATGGTGAAACAGTAACAACACTTGTTGGGCTCTCGCACTCGTGTAAGGATGATGGCGCACGTTTCTGCTGTGAACCTCAACTGTTGGGAACATCAGAGATGCAGCCTAGGACCTGCTGAGCAAACGTCACAGATCAGGCTCACAGGATCCCATAGGGCCAGCCTCCTGCACACCAGGCCCACTCCCGGCCACACACAGCACAACTTGCTACTGAGACGGACCACAGTAACGTCACCACACAATCCGTACGGCTACACACAGAAAAGGTACAGAAAAATCCTGTGTAAAAAGGAAGCACCACATGCCACGAGGTAAGGAGGGGTCGGGCAGCTGACTTTGGTGGAAAGCCAAGATCCAGTCGAGGAGCAACTGGGCAGATCAGAGGGGCACCAGGGAGGTGGGATAAGCTCTCACTGAGGGCACCTTCCAGAGCGGGGAGCTTTCCAGCGACAGCAGGGTTTGCTTTAGTGGAATGATCAGTTTGACTTGCTGAGGAATACACCCCAGGCCTTTGTACAGCTCTGGCACTTTCTTTTATCTATTTTGAGACAGGGTCTCACTGAGTACCTAAGTAGCCCAGGCTGGGTTCAACCCTGTGATCTTTCTGCCTTAGCCTCCCAGAGCACTGTGGTGCTTTAAAACTTTTTCCTTTTGCCTCAGAAGCTGAATTTCTGTACCCTGCACCCAAGAATCCTGGGCGATTCCCAAGTGGAACTCTCCTGATTCATCACCTACAAAGAAAGCAACTATTTTTTTAAGGCAGGGTCTCACTATGTAGCCCAGCTGGCCTCAAACTCAGTGATCCTCTTGCCTCAGCCTCCTGAGTGCTGAGATTACAGGCATGCACCTCATGCACAGGTCCCTGGACCTTTGAGATAGCTTCACTAAATCAGCAAAGGTGACCACAAACTTGAAATCCTTCTGCCTCAGCCTCTCAGTCCTGGGATGACAAGCTTGTGCCACCAGGCCTGGCTTCAGGACCCTTTTTATGATACCAAAATTGAGAGCCCCAGAGTTTCCATGTGGGATGTATCTATAGATACTGACCGTAACGCAAATCAAACTGAAAAAAACAAATTTTTAATGTTTTTAAAAAAGAACAGAAGTATCGCCAGGCATGGTGGCACACCCATAATCCCAGCACTCAGGAGGCTGAGGTAGGAAGATCACTGTGGGCTACATAGCAAGTTTCAGTCAGTCTCAACTACATAGATCTTGTCTCAACACCCCCTCCAAAAGAACAGAAATATCACATACGACCATACTTTTAAAAAAAAATTCACATTTTTACAAATTTGTCGTTTTAGAAGGTAGTTGGAGTCTCAAGTTGCTGTCAGGCCATGCATTGCTCTGCCTGCCTTAGAAAATCTCACAGGAAACCACAGTGGGAGAGGACTGTGTGGACCTGCTAAGGACAGTGGGAACCACTGGATCCTCGAGCCCTGAGAACCACTTCTGTGAAATCTATGCAGCCAATTCATCAGTATCAGAACCCGCAGCTTCAGGCGATAGTGAAGAAAACTTAAGCTTGTTAATTCAACTCCAAGTGACATCAGTTTTTGTATTTTTTTGGTGGCCTTGGGGATTGAACCTAGACCCACCCCAAAACCATTTTTTCTCCCTTTAGACAGGGTGTCCCTATGTTGCCCAGGCTGTTTCCAAACTCCTGGGCTCAAGTGCTCCTCTTGCCTCAGCTTCCCAAGTAGCTAGAATCACAGGCATACACTAACACCATGGTCACTTTTTTTTTTTTTTTTTTTTTTG